CCCTATTCTTTTGGAGGGGATTGCTGAGATTTAAGGAGATTTTTTTTTTTTTGGGGGGGGGGGGGGAGGGGAGGGGGTTCATGTCTTTGTTGTTGATCTCTAGTAGGTACTGTAGGCTTGAAGTTGAGGTTATCACAACAGGATTTTAATCAAAAGAAAGAAATAAAATAGTAAAAAACTTATGTAGAAAACATGACATCAGAGTGTCTCTTTCATACAGAAAGCCCATCAACAACAGCCAACACAGGCTTTGCTCTGTCAGCAAATCTTTTACTGGCAACGGTGGGCCGCTACACTAAGACCATCTCCACCGCAAAATGCTATCTGCGCTGCCAAATCTCGGAATTCGGCGACTGCGGCGCATTTTTAGCACCCCAAGCCTTGGAATTTTGACACCGCACGCTGCCAAATATGGCAGCTCTTCACTGTGAAACTCTCTCCCCCGCTCCCCAAAGAACACGACACACTACCGCCATGGACGACTCCGAAGACAACAATACGCCTGTGGATGTCTTGACGCAAGAAGAATTCACCCAAATCATAATCCGACGGCAGCAGCTAGCCTCCAGCGCAAATACCAGAAGAACGATGCTCCTTGAATCTGCAATACTGATGTTGGAAGACGACACTCGTTACGATGACCTCTTTGGCAAGCACGGTGGATCAAAGCCAGGAAAGAAGCCGAACATACCTCGAAACTTTGAAGCTGCCTATCAACAGCTCTACCAACACTATTTTTCCGATTCACCTCTCTACGATTCTAGATTATTCAGACGCCGATTTCGAATGTCAAAAGAACTATTCTTGAAGATAACCAACTCTGTTCAAAGCTTCGACGATTACTTCATTCAGAAACCAGATGCCTTAGGAAGAATGGGTCTCCATCCCCTGGTTAAGGTCACGGCGGCACTGCGCATGCTTGCTTATGGGGGTGCTGGCGATTGTAACGACGAGTATCTGCAACTCTCGGAAACCACCTCGCTCCAATGTATGGATCGGTTTTGTGACGCAATTGTCAGCATCTATGGTGGCGAATATCTCCACGAGCCGACTGCCGAAGACCTGGACAGATTACTGGAGATTGGAGCTCGAAGAGGTTTCCCTGGCATGCTTGGGTCTGTGGACTGCATGCATTGGGAGTGGAAAAATTGCCCCTCGGCGTGGGCTGGGCAATTTCAAGGAAAGGAAAAGGTGAGTTTTATCAAAGAAATACTATGCGGTTTATTTGTTCTGACTGACCTGTGACTGGTTTGATTTACAGACCCCAACCGTTATACTTGAGGCCGTTGCCTCTCAGGATCTTTGGATCTGGCATGCCTACTTTGGGCTGCCAGGGTCTCATAACGACATAAACGTCCTGGACCGATCGCCCCTCTTCAAAAATCTCTTGAACGGACAAGCCCCGAAATGTGAATACAGCATCAACGGCCATGATTACAAGCAAGGTTACTACCTTGCCGACGGGATTTACCCGGATTGGGCCGTTTTCGTCAAAACACTCTCGGAGCCGGAAGGACTTGAGCAAAAACATTTTGTCAAGATGCAGGAAGGTTGTCGGAAAGATGTCGAGCGGGCCTTTGGCGTTCTCCAGGCACGCTTTGCGATCGTCTCTCGACCTGCACGCGGATGGAAACATCGAAACCTTACCAACATCATGAAATCATGTATCATCCTCCACAACATGATTGTGGAGGATGAGCGAGACTCTTACTTAGAATATGTGTACGATCAGAACCCGGCCGAAGTTATTACTCCGGTTGAAGTAACCCGAGGGACACAAATATCGTTCTCCGAGTTCATTGACAACTACCACTCAATGAAAGACATCGAAACTCACTACCAGTTGCGACACGATCTCATCCGACATCAGTGGGATGCCAAAGGACGACAAGCCGATGAATTGGAATAAAAGCTTCTTGTTTCTTTTTGCTTGTGTTTTGAATCTCTCTCGCTCATTTTTTCTCTTCTCTATCGCTTCTTCTTCCTCACTAGCTTCTTCTATCGATCTATTGCATTTTCTTCTCTCTCATCTTTCTCTCTCTCGCTTCTTATTTCTCTCGCTTGCTTCTTCTTTCTCTCTCTTGCTTCTTATTTCTCTCGCTCGCTTCTTCTTTCTCTTGATTCTTCTCTCTCTCTTTGTTTCTCATGTTTGGTTGTAATCAGATATGCTCAACAATCAATTGAATTGTTATGCAATGAAATCCAAGAAAAAAAAAGCATGTGATTTTGATTGGTTTTCTTGTCCAACAAACTATGTAGAATTGCTAGGCAGACATAACAAGTGATGGATGGTCAAGTACGGTCAAGTAAGATGAGGTGTTCACAGTCAGTCAAGTAAGATGAGGAGTTCACAGTCGGTCAAGTAAGATGAGCAGTTAACAGTCGGTCAAGTAAGATGAGGAGTTCACAGTTGGTCAAGTAAGATGAGGAGTTCACAGTCAAGTAAGATGAGGAGTTCAGTTGATCAATCAGACAACTACATAACATGAGGAGTTTGGTAGAGATGAACAACATGCCCTAAGATGAAGAAGATGTGTTTGAGCAAAGAGAGGCTAATATTTCCCTTTTTTTTAATCTAAAATACTCTTTGGAGTTGTCATCAATATTGGACAGATCCTTGTCCATGATCGATACCTGGGTGTTAGTTTTGCTGGTCTGAGCCATCTCATTCAAGGACCGAGCTTCCTTATCGAAGATGTTGTTCTGGCGCTTTGATTCATTTGCCACGGACTCGTGAGCGCGCGCAATGATACATTTCCAGTTGTCTTCCTTGTTTGCGAGTTCGTGGATGAGTTTGGCCTTCTTCTTACCCATCGGACGTTGAACAGAAGACGCATCGGTTGAGTTGGCTTCCACATCAGAAACGGGCTCGGACGTCAAAGCAGTGGAGGCTGGCGCGTTGCTACTAGGGCTTCTAGCTCGTTTTTTCTGAATCGGTAGTTGGTTTTTTTTGGTGTTTTCGTCTGTATAGGAGTTCCATTTGGGGACCTTGACGAGTATGTTGTAAACGCGGAGGTACTTGAACGAGGCCTTCTGGTCTTGGGAGAAGAGCTCAAGAGCGCGGTTGAGGCAATCTTCAGCCGAGGCACCACTTTTGCCAAACTGCTCGACTTGGTTAACGAAGCCTCGGAACTTGCTGATGGGCTTCTGCAACGCAACCCAGTGAGCCTTCAAACTTCCCGCAGTTCGACGAGATTCCGGGAGATTTCTGGAGTAGGAATGGTGGACTCGTTTCCAAAAGGTCGTGCCGTCCTGATGAGTACCGACCAAAGGATCCTCCGATATCGCAATCCACGATCGACATAGCTGGACGTCCTCATTCTCAGAATAGCTAGCCGATCTCTTAGTTCCGACCTCTTCTACTTCGGTTTGACTCGCTCCAACGGTAGTTTGGCTCGGTTGGCTTGGTTGGCTTTTGGCTGGCTGGGTTCCGAGGTCTTGGAGAAGCGGATCGAGTGGTACATTGGCTGGGGCCATTTTGTTGATTTGTTGAGGTTGATCGATGGCGCGGGTTCGGTTTCTGGGCTTTTGTGCTGGAGGTTGGATGGAGGGATATGGCTTTGGATATCGGGGGATATGGGGGAGGTGGTGGATGAGAGAATCACAGGAAATTCTTGTGATACCTGTGGAGGTTGGGTCAGGTTGGGCTTCTATCCTGATTCTAGATTTGGTATCGCGATAGCAGCCGAGAGGCGAGGTACCAAAGATTTTCAGTGTTTAGCAGCCGCGGTGGCGCTGCTAAATGGGGCTTGCGCTGCTATAATTGGTTTGGCAGCGCGGTTTAGCAGCCGCGGTGGAGATGGTCTAACCGTAGCGGTTAGTGTAGCATAACACAGCGGAATCACTGTTAGCGATTAGCGTAGCGTAGCGGAATTTCCGCCACGACACCGCTAACACTACCCGTGTGGGCTGCAAAAAAGGGCCCAATACGCTGCGCTACAGCTGTTTTTGGCGGTTTTTGGCCGCTTTTTCTGCTAAAGCGCTGTAGCGCAGCGTAGCGTAGCAAAAAACCGCTAAAAAACCGCTAACACTACGGTTTTTGGATGAAAAAAAGCGCCGCTACGCTACGCTTTTTGGGCCCAAAGCGTAGCGGCCCACCACTGTTACTGGGCTTTGAAAAATTATGAAGTCTTGAAAAATCAATATTTTTTGACAAAAAACAGAAAACAAAATCTCGACACCATGTTCCACAACTATGGCCCTGGGACACATTGGTCCACCAATCATAAGAGAGGACCTAACTTATCTAAGTCCCTGCCCCCCTCCTCATATATATTGTAGATGAAAATTCTTTTTTGGAGCCCAGTATCAACGGTGCCACAGATACGAGACGAGTATCGGTATTTGGGGGTATCTGGATTTGATACCCCCCGATATCTTGGATTGGTATCGAATAAGGATCCTGACTGAATACATCGTATTCAAAGTCTGGGATTCCAGAGGCCAATGCGAGACAGTGTACACTACAAACAATACCAATTTTGCCCCAGGAAAAAATGGCAATTTGGTTGGTGGAAAACAGGTCACTTTCCTGAGCATTTTTTCACAAAATGACTCAGGAGTAAAAATTAAGCTAAAATGAGCTATTTTAGCCAAAAAATAAAAATGCCTCAAATGAGCTAAAAATTAATTTTGGAAAGTTTGAGGCATTTTTATTTTTGGGCTAAAATAGCTCATTTTACCCTGATTTTTACTCCTGAGTCATTTTGTAAAAAAAGCCTCAGGAAATTGAACAATTTTCCACCACTCAAATTGACATTTTTTCCTGGGGCGAAACTGGTATTGTTTGTAGTGGTATTTCCTGTCCTGGATTCTGAATATCAATACCATCAATCCGGTATTGTGATACCAATCCACATATCGAGGTAAGCCCCTCCCCTAGAGTAGAACCTGAGACAAGAAAAACTAAATCACCAAACGATCTTCTCAAATGCTCATCTGTAGTCTTTCACTGCAATATTGGTTGGCCAACTTCATCGGCAGCTTGACATCCTGAGGCAATGTTTTCTTTCTTTCATTCTTCTTCTCCTTCCCATCCTATCAACAAGGCCTTGGCAAAGATCAAGACCCACTCTAGTCCACCTCCCTCGCACGGTGTTCCAAGGTGAGCAGAAGAAGGCGTGTGTACTTTGTAGTTTTTTACCACATCTCATCCTCATGTTCACTAATCTATGCTTTGTTTTGCAATTCAGACATCTTTAAGTAGCTGCAAGTCTTCAGCCACAGACGACAGCCTGCGTGATCATAACAAACGTCTCCTCAACGGTCAGTCTGAACACGTAGAGGGACAACCCAGATTGCCCACATCGATCAAGTCAACCCAAGCCTTGCCATCCCAATACGCCTCAGGAACCCCGGCCACGTCTCATCAGCCAAAACCCATCATCGTCAGCAACTCGAACGCTTGGTTGAGACCGAGGAGCTTTTGGCGGCTGAGGAAGATAACTGGCACATCCAGCAGCAGATTATGCTCCGCCAGGCTACCTTGGAACGTGAACAGATCGAGCTTGACAATCACCTTGAGGACGAGTGCAAGGTGAGGGAGGAACAACCAAATGGGCTCAGAGCTACTCAAGTTCTCAATGAACCTCACCAGCTTCGACCGTCAGTTGCTTGGCACTTCAATCCAGCTGCCCCCCATCTACGGTCCCATCGGTCTCAGGCGCTCTGCTCTACCTTCGTTTGCCGGACCCCCACCGATCGTCCCCAGAGCAATGGGCTTTCATCCTCCTTTGTTTGCTGGCAAGAGCAGTCACACCGATTACCCCCTTTCGTCCGCTCGTCACAGTCTGCCGTCCCCAATGGACTCGACCTACTTCTGCTCCCAAGCCGAAGCCGGTAATTGCGGCGGGCGAGCGGAGCGGTCTGCTCTTGCCCGAGGTAGGTCCGCCCTCGCCGATCTCGCCTCTCTCGACCCCACAGTTTAGCGGCCATCCAGAGGAGCGGTCTTTTCAACCGCATTTCGAGCCCAGCTATCCAGTCCAACACGGCTCGATCTTCAATCAAGCACCGACGCCTGAATTCCATTGGCACCCCTTGCAGGACCCCCGTGGATCTGGCGTGCTCAACCGTGGAAAGCCCTTTGCCCTTGCTCCTACCAAGGCCATGAACAACGAGCTCCGCTTCCATCCGGCTCCCGTTGCCCCCCTTGACTCTCATCGCGAGTTCATTGGCTCATTGGCATTTGCCTCCGAGTTTACTTCCTCTTATCACCACCATGAAAGCTATTTCCCTCGGACTTGTAGCTCTACTTACAGCTCCCAATGAACGCTGAGAGCTGAGCTTCGTCCCCCTCAACCACACCGCCCAGTCCTTGCAAGGCATCAACTCCCTCGCCCTCGTCCCAGCATCCTCATCAAAGCAGCATCCTCATGCCTTGGCCTCTTCCTCTCTTGCTTTGTCTCTTCCACCATCCACCCCCCTGCTTGCCTGTCCACCAAAATCAATGAATTTATTCCTTTACTGACCTTGATTGGAATCTTTGAATCAGATTTTGCTACCAGTGCCAACATTCTTCCAGTACCAGAATCAATTACATTGATTGGATTTCATCACCAACATCAATCAGATTTCACTTGTTTAACCTCACACTATCCTATCATCCTTCCTCATCTTCTACCACCACCCTCCACCCTGTCAGATTCTAGGCTCTGGCACGTCCTCTAATAAGAGGAGGAAAACTGTAAGAGCAGCAGGTGAAATAGGTAAGCCATAACTTCATTAAGCCAATTTACATATGCAACTATAAGCAACCCCAACCAGTTAAGGTTCAAGCTGACATAATGTGTTTAACATGTATGCAGAAGCCAACTTGTCAGAGATTCAGCAACCAACTGAAACATTCAAGTCAGGACAACCAACTGAGGTGATCAGGTAAGATTCTGATTTCTATAACATCTCCAGATAGTTACAGACCAAGCAAACTAACATGAAAATTATGACACTCTGTATAGTTACGCACAAAAAGTTGAAACATCAGGATTGAAACTCTTTGGCAGAATAACCAAGGTAGATCCCTTTTTCTCTCTCACTCCACTCAGTTCTATTTTTCTTTCTTCACATCCTACATGATACAGTGTTGTATATAGAAAAATACTTTCTCATGACAGAAATAAATCTCCTATTTCTTTGAGTTCTTTCACACAAGAATGGCCCGATCATCTGTTTCCCCTTGTGGAACTCCCTTGCAAACACCCTCCCGTCAGTCTAGTCAAATCACAACTCCTTTGCGTTCTCATGGAAATTTTGTCAGATCCAACCGAGACTCTCAGCGATCTTTGCAACCACAGACTAGCAGACAAATCCAAACTCCAAACCCTGAGAGTGAAACCGAGTCAGTTTCTCAGACTAAGAGCACCCAGCCATTCCAAAAACTGTCACGCAAGCGACATCAGCCTCAAATATTGTCTTCAACTGACCAAAGTCATGCTAGTGCAGCCAAATCCAAGCAAAAGAAGAAGAAGAAGAAGAAAAATGTGGTTCGAACCAATAACGAGGATGATTCTGATCAAGTTGGAGGGGCAATTGACATCACTCAAGACTCAGACCACAACAACTCAAAGGTCAAGAAGGTATCAAAGAAAGACAGTGAATTTGATAACATCCTTGAGTACTTTGAGCCCCCATTCCACACCAACGAAGGTGACACTGTAAATTATTTCTTGCTTTTCATGATCCTCTACCATTTTTTTCTTCTCATGACTAACATTGGCCTTTCTGATCTTGTTTTTAGGGAGAAAAATCCTCGCACAGATGCAAGTGGTGTTCAGTTCCTTACAAGAAAAGCAAGGGGACCAACTCAAACCTCACCAAGCACCGTGACGGCACCAAGGAGCGTCCTGCCTGCTCAGGACAATCAGACGCAATTGCTTTTGGGGCCAAGTTACCTCTGACAGCAATGGAAATCGAATTCAATAAGCAACACCACGAAGAAGATTTGATCCACAATTACGCTCAAAACACGGTGTTTGAAATGAGGGTCTTGAATCAACTCCTAGTGATGTGGTTAATCTGATACTCGTTACCTTGGAGCCGAATGCAAGACTTTCTCCTGCATGTGGCTTTCAACTATGCTCGGCGAAATATCACTATCTATGGTCGGTCTTGGGTGGCAAATGAGGCACATAACCTCTATCTCAATCTAAAGAGCAAGGTTATTGCCAGCTTACATGTAAGTTCTTCCCTCTTCCCCCTCCCACCCCTGCAAACAGTTGACTGAAGCCTGACTCAAACATGCTGTTGACAGGCACTTGAATCAAAATTCACATTGATTCATGACGTCTGGACCACTAAAGGCAATCATCATGCTTTTCTTGGCATCTCAGTTGCTTATGTGACCAAGGATTGGTGTTTTAAGATTTCACATCTGGGAATGAAGTACATTGACTCTAATCACCAAGGAAGGCTTTTGGCAATCCCATTTGCAAACATCCTGACAAAGGCCAAATTACAACATAAGATAAGTCTCTTTTCTTTCTTTCTGTGTTCAATGAGATAAACTAATCCGTCCACTTGTTTTCAATACATCTTAGCCCAGACAACTGATTCAGGATCCAACAATTTCACAATGGCTTCTGAGGTCGACCGACTTATTTCTAAGAAGACAGGAGTCAATCCAAACCTCTCGGCAAACCATATTCGGTGCTTCTGCCACAAGATAGCTTTGATCCTCAATGCCGGACTGATGGCTCTCCAACAGTCAACCAACGTATTGGTCAAATCAAGAGGCGACACCCTCGGCTTTGCCCCTGACTTAGAACCAATCATTGAAGAGTCAGAAGAACGCGAGGAACCAGATCAGTTTGTAGCAGAAGACGTGGCTTTAGAATTCCGTCCGCAGGGTCAAGCCGAAAGCAGAACTGGTTCTGATGGGTGTAATGGGGACGGTGATCTGGATTCCTCAGATATCCCTGATAATGGAGGAAGTAATATTGATACAGTCTTGAAAAAGGTATGTCTTTCCATAGTTAAACTGTTTATTGCCAAGAGCTCACCAGCAATTCTTCCACATAGGTTGATTTCATTATTCAAAGGATAACATCCTCTGCAGCCAAGCGTTCCGAGTACAAGACATGGTGCACAAAACTCGACTTTAATGGGCTCAGCCTCATTGCTGGGTACGGTATTTGCTGGAACATTGTCTTCCAAAGTCGACATCGAGGATATCAGGCTCGGAAAATTATCGATAAACTAATTGAAAATGAAAATGATCGTCAAGAACAAGAGGGTGGGAAAAACTACTTTGACAGTGTGGAGGTTAGTCGAAGCGAGTGGGAGATGGTGAATAGATTGAATGACACACTCAGCGTGAGTCAATAGAAAATGAGTCTTGAAATTCTTTCCTTCATGTGACAAAGACCTGATACGCCCTTCACAATATTTTCAGGAGTTTTATTTCCTTACAAAGAAGATGGAGGGTGACCACTCCTCAGGATGCTTACTCATTTCTGAATACCAGTACATCAAGGAATTCCTCACTGAAAAAATCGAATCCTCCTCAGAACCAGAATTCAAAAAAATGCTCAAGCAGATGCTAGCGAAAACAAACACCTATCTCAATGAGGCCTTGCGTTGTGATGTGATCCTGATTGCCACAGCACTCAATCCCAGCTTTCGCTTATCGATTTTCAAGTTTTCGTTTCCCAGCCACCACAATCACACTCAGAACCTCCTGGAGTCTCTTTTCAACACCAGGAAAGCCGAAATTTCTGTCCCAACCGAATCCGCCCCACCAGTAGCTGCCGACAAGTCTAAATCCATCAAACAAGCTCAAAAGCAAACCAACTACTTTCCTGACTCAGTCAAGGCTCCTGTTGCTGATGAGCTTGCTATCTACTTGGGGGGTAAGTATAAGTTTCCAAGTTCTGAAGCCGATCAGTGCTTGCAATGGTGGAAGGTAATCATATTTCATCATCAAAATTTGGACATGAATATAACATTAACTTAATTTCTCTTAATAGGACCATGAAGAAGAGTTCCCAACCTTGGCCCTCCTTGCAAGGGACTACTTGGCTTGCTCAGCAACCTCTGCAAGTGTTGAGAGGTGTTTTTCGGCCGCAGCTGACACTTGTGGTTGCAATTGAGGAAGTCTTGAAGCAAGTACGATTGAACGTTGTGTAAGTTCTCATCAATGGATAGTCCAAGGATTTGAACCGGAAGAAACTTTTGAGACTGCACAGGCTATCATCACCCAGGAAAATGAAGAGGAGGCCTTTCAAAAGGGGAAGAAAATCCCCCATCACATGAAGTAGAAATGTTTTTTTTTTCCTTTTTGCCCAAAAGATCCTCAAGGATCCATAATCTTAGTTAAATCCTAGCCCAGAAATTAAACTGCATAAATAGCTATCAAAAAATAAAAAAAATCTGATACCGGAAATCCGGTATTCCTTCATCACATGATACCAATAAACACAAATACCATGTATTGCCCACTAGATACGATACATGGTATTGTATTTGGGACCAAATACAAGAAGTGTCTCTCTCAAAATTGGTATCAGAAAAAAAATACGATACTCAGTATTAGTGATACATGTATTGTATCGTATCTGTGGCAGCGTTGCCAGTATCTATCCACCAATTCCTTCTACAACTGTGCTTGTATTAATAGCAATAACTTTGGGCTAAGATGATTGCTAATATCCAAGACAAACCACAATGCTTCTCTAGGAGCTTCCCCTGGAAGAAGAGCTAAAAAAGGTGGTATCAGATTATGCTAATGTGTAGCAAAGGTTCTTTCAACCTTTTTGCCATTGATAAGGTGTGGACTCGGGTAAATGCCCGCGAGGGGTACCGGGTAGCCGGGGCTGGGGCCCGAGACCACTTGCATAAGAGCAGCGCATACATACAATCTGCACAGCCACAGCAGTCCCATCGTCGTTGACTCTCAACCTCAACCTCCAACTCGAAGGAAATTTGGAACTTTGGATGTAAATACAACACAACCGAGCTGGAGAGATACGCCGAGACAAATCCTAGCCCAGACTGCTGTCGATGGCCTCACGCAAACCGACTCTCAACCCACAGAAAGACTACACCGAAAGATCTCACCACCCAAGGAAATCTCGACCAAGCAAACAAGCCGGCCCAACCAAGCACGGCGTGAATGACTCAGATGTATCATCCGGCCAACCAGACACTGTCCAGTAAGCTACCCATTCGAAGAGTTTTCTGGTGCTTTTGAAGAGAAATAAACTGGTGCTAACGCTCAGCAACTCCTCCCTTTTTCCCTTTTTCAGACAAATCAAATCACTAACTTGTACCCTCAAGGAAGCCTTACGCAATCAGGAGCCATGGTCCACAACAATCGAAGATCAGAGACAAAGGTATGAAGAGGTATTCCGTCAGACCTCTCCCCTCAAGGGCCACGACGCTTACCAAAATCTTCTTGCCTTTCAGTCTAAGACGGCAATATTTGTCGCTCATCTTTCATTCCTGCGAGGCTTCTGAATCTAATCAAGCTGGTGCTGCTAGGCACAGCTATTCCGGAGAAGCGCTTAACCTACTCTGGCTAGATACTTCATATAGCTTGATCAATATTTATCGACAAAAACTGAGTGCCATGGAAAAGGAGGTTGAACGAACAAACCATGTCAGCCACAAGAAATCTGGACCCAAGAATCAGAGGATGCAAATCGACCGAACCCGTGGCTCGCTGTCGAACGTGGGACCAGTTGCCCGCCGGAAGCTGCTTCAGCATTTTCGCTCGTTTCTTCGTAGTGAAGATGCGTTTTGGAAGTCTCTTATCCACCGATTAATCAACAGTTATCATATCGAGTCTGCCAAGGGGTGCTTGAAAATTTTGAAAATCTACAACGATTCTTCGGCGATGGAGGAACCAAGGTCATCAGATCCATCTGATAACCAAGATGGCGAAAAGGTTGACAATAAGAACTTACCGGAATCCAAGGAAGAAGGCATGTCTCTAGTTCATAAAGCGTTAATATGTTTTGGCGATCTCATTCGTTATGGCGAGCTGTATGCCCGGAGCGGTGCACAAACATCTCCATTTTCGGGTCCAGCGAACCACCCGCGGGAAAAACTTGACAAGAATTCGGTAGTCGAGCGTGATTGGTCGAGATCGCAAGACTGTTACAATCAAGCCCGTCTGCTGATACCAACAAACGGCAATCCATCAAATCAACTGGCCGTCCTCTCGTCATACATTCCTGATATCCTGAGCTGCGCTTATCACTACTATAGGGCCTTGTGCGTTAAAAACCCATTCCCAACTGCCCGTCAGAATCTTGGATCCACCTTCAACAAAGCGCTAGCCAAGATCATGGAGACAGATCACCCAGATCCGGATTATAGCCCCCAAGAGCTTTCTGCGGGTGATTTGAAGCTTAATTCTGACCGTCTGGTGTCTGAAATTAAATCACGCTTTGTTGCCCTGCATGCAAGTCTCTACACCCGAGCGTAGGTTATAGTTTTCCAGTTCTCTTTAGTCGACCGTCGATTCCTTGAAGGTACCTTTACCTTTTTTGGGATTTCGCCTGATTGTCCTCCTCCCAGTGTTGAGGCAAAATTGTTGTCCCAATTTGATAACCTCAGTTGACCTGATTCGGTTTGCATTTTTTTTTTTTTTTTGATAAAAAATTGATTATACAGACCCAATCCTTTCACCGAATCCAACGTCAAGCTCTGCTCTAAATTCACCAATCATCTGAAAAACCGGCTGCTACCTCCGGAACTCATTTTGAAGATGATTGTCACTTGCATGGCGGCAGCATGGTACACAAGAATTGGTGCTGAAAGTTAGCAATTTGTTTTACTCATTCCCTTTTGGCTCGCGGATCTCCTTATTGACCAGTCAACTCCTACTAGCTGCTTCCACTCGCTCTCGCCACGGTGATCATATGGACTCCCGCGCGCGTCCGCCTGCCCATTCATATACTACTGAAGTAAACGCCACCGTTCATTTTTTACAGTTCTCAGCGGCGTTACTGTCCGTGGCCAGAGATGAACTCAGATCGATTGATGAGTCTACTCATCCAGGAGATTTATCTCAAAATATACCTGCTGTTCTCCGTAGGATTTTACCGACAATGCGAATCATTAGCAAATGGGTCCTGAGCGGACATTTTAATCACATCAACCGAGTCAAGCTACGGCTGGCACGATCGAAGAAGCTTAAGCTGAACTCACAGCTCGTCACGGCTGAAGCTGAGTTCTGGACGCAGTACCATCAAGCTATTGAACTAGCAAAGCAACATTTCCCTATCGATAAATTACCTTCATTGGAAGTTTTTTTCACGCTTGAGGAAGATTTGGAATTGGCCGGATTCCTACCGATCGAGAGAGCCATGAAGATCCATCAATCGACATCATCGAAACCGCCTGACCAGCTTGAATTCCCACCTTCTTGTGGGACCTGTCATCCAAACGAGGAACACTTGATGCGATTGGGTGATCTCCAACGAGACGCCAACCGAATTGAGGCCAAACACTATTCCACACAATCCAACCTTGCAGAGTCTACAAAACCAGCAGAAATCACCAAAGATCCGAATGAAATGGAAATTCCCACAAGGCCAGGCTTTATCCACTCATCCTCCTCCTCCTCATCTACACATTTGAAAGTAGCCGAAAAGAATCACGTTCACACAACCCATGGACTCTCAGATGAATATGGCAATTGGACAGATGACGATGATCCTGTTGAGCTTGCTATGCGTGCCGTAGTTGCTCAGCAGATGGGCAACGAGCAAGCAAGCGGTAGCCAAAGTGCACTGATGTTGCAGAACTACTCGGAGGATGTGACTGCTGATGAGGAAGTTGATGATGACGACGAAGAAGTAATTCTTTACCTCACCAAACCACACCGTGGTGTAGCCGGTCTTCCAGAAAGCTCCGGCAGCAATGCCGGGATGAGTGCGACGCTTCAATTTCCATCATCATCCTCACATCAAACACCCGTTGATCAAGTCGGGAACAGGATGAGGACTGCAGCTGATTTGCTCGCATCGATTATCAGTACGCCGACGGCCATCGCCAATCATTCGACCCCCCCTAATCCTGCCCTCCCGCCACTCGTCCCAGCCGAGGGATGGAATCCGTTCTCATCCGCCGAGCAAACCACGCCACCTCCACCGGGCACATCAGCTGTCGCCCCCCCTCCGAGGCACGGTGGGAGGGTCCCCTCTGTATCGCTCCCCAAACCAGCCGACGCATCACCGAAGATCAACATTTGGTCCACTTTGCACGCTTCAAGTTCATCTTCTCCTATGCAACCCAACAGTGAGTAGGATTTTCTTCATTCATCTCCACTGACTCATCTCATATTTTTTCTTCTGCTCGTCATCAGACGCGTGGGTATTTATTGATCTTGTGCATTTTATCCTTGTACAGTGATCATTGCCAGTGACTGGCCGGCGTCCGCCGCCTTCTTGGGTCAAACTGACTGACATCCTGAAGATAGATGCATAGATGAAACTGAGCAAGGCTGCCGCCGGGATTTATTACCTTGCCTGGATTTATCCAGTCGGCGCTATCGCATTTTTCCTCAAAATAAAAATACACACAGGTGGATTAATAGTTTGGGTGGTGGCCACCCGGCAGATGTCCGTAACCACTTCAACATATCTCTAAGTGCAGGGTAGGTTGGGGAGGAACAACTGAAGAGACACGAAGAAAATAAAGTGAGGTGCTCCGACAAATAACTCTCATCAACAGGGACCATTCTTTTGGAGAGATTCGGCTCAGACAATGGCTAAGGTCATGCAAGACACACAAACTCACACTCCCCAGCTTAACTTTTGCCTATTAGTCCACCTTCATTTCAGCTTTTCTTTCTTCCCAAATCTATTCCATCAAATTCCATCCATTCTGTCAACTGTAGGGATGTTGAAGGACTAAAAAGCATGAAGAGCTCGCAATGGATGGACCAGCCCAACAAACTCTATTCTTTTGGTACATGGGAGCAGAAAGTTGTCAAAACATGTAGAAAAATTCAATAAACACAAAAAATAGTTGTTTTTTTCATTTTCCAAGATGCACTGTAACACTTTGCTTTTCTCTTTGGTTTACTAGATAAATCAGTATCTGAAAACATCTCGAACATTTTTTCACTCATTCCATTTCTGTTCATCCAAAATAGATAGTCAATCTCACTTTTGTCATGTGTTTCCTGTGATAAATATGATCAATGATAGAAAATACACACACAGAAAGCAATCTCAGATTTATTGATCAGCACATCAAAATGTATGACTGCAAGCCTATTTGTTGTCCAAAAATATCTACAAATATCATATGTAGAGATGATTGACTGGGTGATACTTTTGATTAATGTGTCCATATTTTTGTTGGGGGATGAATTGGGTGCAGTAGGAAGTTTAACTAATTCTATACACCAAAACACATTAGGGGGGTTCATGAAAGAAACTGGGAGCCATTCTTAAGCTGCTTCTGACCAAAAATTTATACGTTTTTGGGATATACAGAAAGATCAGAAAGCACTAAATCTGACAAACTCCTAAAAAATGTTGCTCATTAACATCTTAAAAATGGCTCTGAAGTTCTGTCATGAAAACCCCTATTGGGATTTTGAGCTTGAAACAACAATGTAACTGTCACACCAAATTAAATTAGCATAGCTGATAACTGCTAAACTTTGGAGCTATTGGGTTCAGAAGTTTAGCTGTAATATAGGTACCCACTAATACTAATTTACTGCTAAATTACAGATGGTTAACTGCCACTTATAGCTAATTGGCTGTAATTTGTGGCTAAAAGCACACTTTCTTCTTCAGATCTTGGGTAGCTGTAAGTGTAGCTCAGGTTGAGCTAAAATTTGGCTGTAATTCAGCCAGACAAAAGAAAACACTAAATTACAGCTTAATAGAATATCCACCGCGGGAGGTAAACCAGGTTTGTATCCCACGTCTAGCAACCCAAACCCAAAAAACATCACCCACCCGGGGTGCTAAACTCATAAAAGTATTACCTCTGGAGGTAAAATTTCATGTTGAGTTGCTACATGTAGCAACTCTATAGCAACCCAATAGCTCCTCTGAGATCTCAAATCTCCATGACATGGATGGTGCTTCCCTTGTGATATCTTCATGAAACTGTCAAACCTTTTCTCTTCTTCCCCGTTTCATCTCCTCTCTCCTTCCCGGTTTGTCCCCATATATATAAATACCTATTTCACATCACAATACATATCCCTTTTTTACACTACAACTTGAGTGAGGTGAAGCTGTTGTGTCCAATTTCCTGCAATCGGACACGGCCAAGATAATGATTATGTCCTTCACCTCACCTGTGTCCAATTGCATGTGATCGGACACCAGAAAGGTAAAGCTGTTGTGATGTACTTCAGATTAAAATGTGATCATGTAGCAACCACCCGTGGGCAGAAAACCCGGGGGGGTTGCCACATGTAAATTCTGAGTTGCTACATGGGGGTTGTAGCAACCCGGTTTTACCTCCCGCAGTAGATATGCTCTAATTACACTAAATGTAATTGAATAGTTGCATTGCTGCTTGAAATACCCCTGTTATTGACATTGATCTTTAACTCATATGCACCTGGTGTCAACATCAACTTCTCATTCAAAATCTGAAAAACAATGTGAAATTCACTGAATGCCACAATTGATAAGGGTAGGAGTATTTTTTCTCCTTTACATACCCACCCTAACTTTGAACTTTTTGATTTGATCCCTGCTCATTAATAAACTCTCAAACACATAATCTGCCATACTGCATAGGAAAAATCTAAGACCAATCTCTCATTTTGCTTCAAATTCACTTCCTATAAGGGCATAAACCCCCTAAGGGTGTGTCAAAATCCCGTGACCAAGGGGTATGCCCTCATAAGGTTTTGACAGTGTTTTATTATCACACACAGTTACAGATGGAACTATCTACCCACCAAATGTGTGAACATGGCATTGCAGCTTGTTTGGAAGTGGTTACAGCAACAGAGGGTTGCTGTGTTACACTGTCATCCAACACATCTCAGTAATGTAACAACCTGCAATTACAGGATGGCACACTCTTGTCACTAGGATTCATTTTTTTCATGGCATGTAGTGTGACTGGGCATTTTTCCAATTGGAAATCAACTAAACTACACCAGAGCCTAAAAATCTCAAAAAATTTGAGAATACCCCTTGTCAGTGCTGCAATTTCAGTTTTTTTTTAGAAATTATCTTGTGGATAGTGTGGTTTCCCAAAAAATCTCAACACAACTTTGTGGCAAGAGGAAAATTATGGGTAAAGTAGCAGCAGCAAAAAAAAAATTCTCATTGACTGTTACACTACCAAATGTGGGTATTGCACAAACCATTTGGTGTTGTTTATAGGTTTTTTATGTAAATGGTGCTCCAAATTTAGCAATCAAAATACATTAATGTTCATGACTTCATCATTCAGATTTTATCAAAAAAATTAGCCTTTTCATTCATGTCTGAAACCTTTTTCTGTTCAGTTCCATGGGTGATGTCAATGCCTTGACATCAAAAATGTGAAACCATGTGTTTATGATAGTCTAAATGTTATTCATAATCTCACTGTGCACTGCTGTGCCAATACTCTTAGGTTGGAAACTCTGAAGGCATTTCATGAAATTTACACTCAACACATCAAGACACCACTATATTTCATCTTTCTAGTAATTTGACAAAGGGTCTTAGTTAAACGACTCCCAAATATCGGAGTTCCGACTCCCAAACATTTGGGACGTCACTAAGACCCCCTGCGGACGGTCCGCAGGCCGTCCACCCCCGGAGATGGGAGTCGGGCCTCCCAAAACTTCAACAGGTTTGGGAGTCGATCATCCCAAAAAAAAAATATAAAAAAAATAAAAAACCCCGGGGGTTTTTGGGAGTTGATCTTCAAAAACCCCCAGGGAGGTGGCGAGTCGGCGCCAGACTCTCAGCGGCGGAGAGGAATCCCTCT